CTAGGGACAAGAAATGTATTAGTTAGTAAAGGTAAGTAAAGGATACAAATGAGAGCTTACTGACCTAGGGACAAGAGGTCGAAACTGAGGTCCCTAGGGCAGCAGAGGCTGGTTTATATACATGGGAAGATTTAGGGCAGGCTGTGCACGTTGGTCCGTGTGCAGCTGGTCTGTGCGCAGCATGCCGACGCGGCCCCGGGGGCCGGTGAGTCAAAGCGGCTGTGTCAGCGGGGCCCGAGCTGTGCCGTGCACTGCCGTCCTATCTAATCTGATCGTACAGTAGATAATGATGTGTCCGTATCGGGCAGGTAGTACAGAGGTCGCGGGTTCGAGCCCGCGAAAAGGAAAAAATTAAAAAACGGCTAGGCGCCGTACCAACTCGTGACATTACCCCCCCCTCAACAGCGCATGACCTCATGCGAGGCGCCCTTGCCCATCTCCCACCCAGAGCGGCAGCGTGCTTCAGTCAGCGGCGAAGGCATTGGCTGAAAGTTGAGACCACCGAATGCAGCAGCGTTGAGGCGGCGAGGGGCGTTCGGGTTCTTCCGATGGAAGTCGGCTATAAGGGCCGGTGCATTAGCAACATTGCGCGCCGGTTCCCATGACGTATGCGAGTCGTCATAACCCTTCCACTTGACAAGGTACTGCAGCTGACGTCGGAAGATCCTCGAATCCTTGATCCGCTCAACCTCGTACTCCTCGTCGCCTTCAACCTCAATCGCAGGCGGCTCCTCCGGCTCCCGGCCCGGGATATCGCTACGTGTATACTTGCTAAGCAAGGAGACATGGAACACCGGGTGTACCGGCACCGATTTTGGCAGGACTAATTCATAATCCAGGTCTCCGAGCTTTCGCCGCACGGCATATGGTCTGAGGCGCTTGGGACTGAGCTTCTTGCTCGGCTGTTTCAGCTTAAGGTTCCGAGCGTCAAGCCAGACCTTGTCCCCCGGCGCAAAGACCGGTGCCTCCTGCACGTGCTTGTCGTAGTATACTTTCATACGCTCGGCTGACAGCTCGAGCGCTGAGCGCGTATCGTCGCGAATCTCCTTCAGGATTTTGAGCCGATCAGCGGCCGCAGGCATCGCAGACATCGGATTGATCCGCACTTGGATCTCAGGATTGTACCCTTGATGCAGGTAGAAAGGGGAGTGCCCAGTCGCGGAGTGAACTCGGTTGTTCAATGCGAACTCCGCGAGCGGCAACTGCTTCGCCCAATCATCCTGCCTGTGGCTTGTGAAAGCACGCAGGTACTGCTCGATTTCCTGATTCCAGCGCTCAGTCTGGCCGTCCGTCTGAGGGTGGAACGCTGTGGACAGCGCTGGCTCAATTCCCAGACCCTTGTACACCGCGTGGAGATATTTCGAAGCGAACTGGGGGCCTCGGTCTGATATGACCTTGGCCGGGGCCCCATGATGCTTGAACACATTGCGGATGTACAGGTCTGCCGCACCTTCTGCCGTCAGGGTCTCATGACAGGCCGAGAAGTGGACCTGCTTGGTAAAGCGGTCGGCGGTAACCAGGATCGAGTCGAATCCATCAGACTTTGGCAAGCCAACGATCATATCGGTCGTGATGATCTGTCATGGGCGCTCGGGGATCTCGTTCGGCTTCAGCGGACCCTGGGGTTTGGCTGGGAATGTCTTGGTACGGTTGCACACGTCGCAGGTGCTTACGTACTCATTGACGAACTTGGACATCCCAGGCCACCAGTAGTTCCGTGATACGAGCTCCAGGGTTTTGGCACGGCCGCCATGACCGGCGATCGGCGAGTCGTGGTGGATCTTGACGATATCCCGCCGGAGCTCTGCGTTCTTTGGGACGTACACACACCCGCGGAACAGCAAAAGCCCTTGTTCGGCATTCCACTCCTCAAAACCCCTTTGCAGCCGGGGCGGCCCGAGGTCCTGCACCTTTTCAAGTGCCTCGGCCACCTCCCGATCCTTCTCCGAACATTCCCTGATGCGCTTCAGAAGCGACTGATCGGCCGTCACCGAGGCATGACCGCGCCTGGCGGAGGCGATGCGGAAGCGCTCTGGCTTGAGAACCACCTGATCGGTGTTATCGTCCTCATCACCGATCTGATGGTCTGATCGGCGCGATAGGGCATCGGCTTTGCCGTTCGATGTTCCGGCCTTGTGTGTGATGCGGAAGTCGAAGCGGGCCAGGAACAGCGACCATCGCGCTTGACGACACGTGAGGTGCTGAGACGTGCGCCAGTACTCGAGGTTCTTGTGATCGGTCACGATCTCGAACTGATTGGGTAACCCCTCGAGATAGTGGCGCCAATCGTCCAGTGCCTCAATGATCGCGAGCATCTCCTTATCGTAGATCTCGTAGTTCCGCTGTGCCGGATCCATCGCATGGGATCTGAAGGCAATAGGGTGCCATTTGCCATCATCCTGCTTCTGCATCAACACGCCGCCGGTGGCGTACCCCGAGGCATCAACTTCAATGCGCGTTTCCCGATTAGGGTCATACAGCGCTAAGACTGGAGTCGTCGCGAAGAGCCGCTTGAGCTCATCGAAAGCATGCTGCTCTTCCTCGCCCCAATGCCAGGGGTCGTTCCCTGTGAGCCGGTCGAGTGGTCGCGAGATTTTAGCGAAGTCCTT